TCTACCCAGAGTTTTGGGCGAACAATTAAGGTCGTCATACTGTTAAGCAGACCGGTACTGTTCAAAATCTTTTTTTTTCGGGGGAAGTTAGTAGAATTTCTACTAACTTTCCCCTTTTTTTAGTTTTATCAATATAGCGGGTGTTTATGGGTGTGGGTATTGAAATTAAAAAAAAAAAAACTCAGTAGTGTTTTTAATAAAACAGCCATTTTATGTCCAATTTAACGGGAATGATGCTTAAATTTGTTAATTTCAACGAATTTAACAAATCCTCTTTGGATGTTTTTCGTATTCAAAAATGCGACGATCATATCAGTATTGGTATATTTCCAATTTTAACATACTAGTCTTTTCTCAAAAAAAAAATATTTAATTTTTTTTGTTTTTTTTTTATCGACTACATGAACTGTTTCAGCGATATGTTAAAAATCAAAAAATTTATTTATTAATTCGAACGTTTACACACAAACAAGTAAAAGGAACTTGAACGATAAAAATATAACTCCTCTCGATTTCTAACTATTTCAAACGATTGAAACTTAAGACTTTATTAAGACGATCAGGTTGAAGAGTAGTCTCGAAAGTAGCAGTTCTCATTGTATCAGATTTTCCGGTTTGACTTCGACCTCTTCCAATATATGTAAGTAAGAACCGTTGTTATTGAATTGAATTTTATTCCATTACCATCTATGATAATCGTGAATCTTAGATAATATAATAACTTATAACATCTGTCTTATGCTTTTACCTAGCAAAGGTATCGGTTTGTGAAAAAATAAGACCTACATGATATACCAATAAGGAATGAACTCGGAAGTTTATATGCCACAGTTAGTTATGAAATAAATCACCCTACGATGTTATTTATTATTTTGAGGCGTCTATGTGCAGTATTTCAAAATTAAGTATTAAAATTTAAGCCTGTTACGATGCATCAAATACGCCAATTCGTATTATATAAGTGCGCGTTACTCTGTGATGCACATGGGCATCATTTGAGCAAAGGTATGATGTTTTTTAAAGGATTTAATCTCCGAAACAACTCTTATGAGCGGTTATATTTGTAGTTGACTTAAATTTATCGACTCGACTAAATTAAACAAATTGGCCTAGTCAGTTACGCAAAGTCGGATGTAAAAAAAATATAGATGAATCTCATTTTCCCGATGAACATTTTATCGACAACTAAAGTTGGACCAATTTACAACTGGGATTTAGTCCGATTTTAAGTTAGTGTTGGTTAGAATTCAAAATCGGTGAAATAACTGTCAGTAAAATGGAGTGAATCCCGTTTCTTGTATGACGAGAATGAAAATTTCCTTACAGAAAATTATTATTTTTCTTATGATCATAAGTTCAACAAATCTTATCACAATTCTAATGTTCTAAAATTTTTATTCTTTTTAGTTCGTATAACCCGCAGGAATAAGCATTTGGGGGAAGTCAATAGAAAAGTGACAAATATTTTTTAAGTAAAAGTTTCAGTTAAGATATCTCAATAACTTTCTAATTAAATTTAATAAACATTTTTTTTATTTTAATTTTATAAAATTCTAAAATTAAAATGAAAAAAAATTATTAAATTTGATTAAATAATTGTTGAGAGATTTTAGTTTAAAAATTAAAAATAAAAATTTACTAAAAATGATTTGTCCCTTTTCTATTGACTTTCTCCCCATCTCTCGAAAAATGTCATAAGGTCATGGGGAGACCCGGTTCGTTTAAATAAACAATACATTAGCGGAAAATTAAAAAGGAAAAAAATTCTACACGCACGGAAAGTGTTTTTATGCCTAACGTTGCATACCATTAACATCCCTATTTGTAAAGTAACTAAAAAATATTATGTAATAATCTACGTTAAATAAATAAAGACGCTGCTTTTAAAACTCTATTATTAACTACTAGTAACAGAGCTATACTGCTAAAAACTGTTATATATTTATATTATTTTACCATACATTTTTATTACGGGTTCTCATCACTTACACTTGGATAATCTCTTGGATAATCGCTTATAAAAACTAGTTTAAATTTGGGTATAAATATTTTGCTAATAGAAATTAATATCATCCACAAATTTGCCCAAAACAATAAAAGTGAAATTTTGTTTACTTCTTTTAAAATACTGTAATAGAGTAGGTAATATTCTATTCCAAACAAAATCATTTCCATTAACATTATTATTTTCGCATTCTGATATTCATTATAAAATATTTGCCAAAAATATGAATGAAATCTCATTTCTAATCCAATAACCAATGAAATAACTGTAATTGAAATATTAATTTTACCATCTAAGCAGGAAAAATCTATTAGGAAGGCAGATTTCAGTGCAAGACATAATAAAATAATTAGGAAATTTTATATTGGCATAATTTAAAGATCTCAATAATAACATTGTTAATGTTATTCCGATTGCTGCACTATTAAACCATATCAAAACTATTGTTATTGTAATAAAGCCATCTGTCGCATAAGAGAATATAGGCGAAAAATAATAATAGGAATATTATTAAGACAAAATAGATAAAATAAGTTATGCGATTTATCCATATTGCATACTCTGGTCTTAGAATCACTAGAATTGTTTCCAAGATTATGAGGATTAAAAGAATTACAGTGATCTCAACATAAGGTATGTATTCGCTTATTTCAAAGTTAAAACATAGCAAGTTGTAAGCTTGCTGATACTGTAGGAAGTAAATAAGTTAAGGGTTTCTCGCCATTATTTCTATAGTTTGAAATGTAAATTTGGGTATTTTGGTTGATAGTAGGTTTATTTATAAATTCTTACTTGTTATGTATAAATGTGTGACTAGGGGTGGGTCATCTTCCCCAGTATCGCCATCAAAATTTTCAACCACGTGATATATGTAGTACAATCTGTCGATTACACATTTGAACTTTTGAAGATCTCACCAAATTTCTATTGAGTTTTATATCAAATATCATTTGAGTGCCGGTAGAGATGAACTATAACTATTAGTTATAATAAACTAAATAAACTGATAGTTTATTTAAAAGGGAAAATAGAACCACGTTACACAATTCATGACATTCGCAATTTATACATTTTAAATAGGATGTTATCAGCTTTACAAAAAGCCGATTTCAGGGATTTCCTGTTGTTTATACAATAGAAACAGAATTGAAATAGCATAAGTCTGGACAATCTAATTTAAGCCAAGCTCAACGAAGCTACTGTGATGACTGATTTTAGATAGAATTTAGATAGAAAATAATAAAAGAATAATAAAGTAACTGCAACTGCGAAACATAAACTACTTGCCCGACCCTTAATAAAGGTGCAAGTATTGTCTTGTAAGACCCAGTGACCATCGTTGAATCCCATCCCTAACAGAACCCGTCCACCCCGAGAATAAACTAAACCCGCAGTTGATCGTTTGCCATTGTCACGTGCCAAGCAACCGAACCGAGAGAGAAGAGTCCTGCCCCCGATTCGACATAGCGAAATCCCGGTTGAGACAAAAAGAAGATAAGATAGAAATTAGTTAAAAGAGTAGGTTGAAGGAAAGACTCAAGAGAAGAGATCAGTACTTACCTATGGATGATAAATCACTTGCCAAATCCACATGCCTTTATCGAGACCGCAAGCCATCCGAACGTTACACGAAGCCGACCTTCGATTAGCGACAGACTCGCCGATTTAGGAGCTCTCAATATCCTACATGGTCTTCGTGGCTACCGTGATACCGGAAATGTGAAACTGGAAAATCGTGACCGATCACATGAAAAATGCACGAAATGCAATAAGTGCAATAAATGCAATAAATGTAATAAGTGTCATAAATGCAATAAATGCAATAAATTACATTTAAGATTGAAAAAGGTATTTCGGATCCAAAGGGGTAGATAAGGAATAAAGTAAGGAAATAACATATATTAAATAAATGCATGTAAATAGTTTAATTAGTTTTAAGAAATAAGTCGCATTTTTAAGTGACGAATTTATATTATAAATAAAGGCTGAAATGGCCCTTAGGAGCAGTATGCTTCGTTTGCTTAATTAAACAATAAATCCCAATACCCTACATTGTACTTAATAAACACTAACACTATTACTGTTACAAACCCTGTGAACCCTTATAACAATGCTATTCAAACCCATAACCATGTAACTTACCCTACTTGCATTCGTTGACCCAAAGTAACCAAAAGTCTTAACCACCTATAAGCCAAATCTAACACCCTCTTTCGAAAAGGTTACTTGTCGTACATTAAACAAGGTTTAGAATTTTGGAGTGACCAAGTCACAATCTTCCGAACCCAACACTATGCTAAACTAATTTAAATATAATTTTTAAAACAATGTAATTGAACACTATAATGCTAGTCAACTTTTTATAATTCAGATCAGATTGAGTACACTGAATTATTAATTCATCAGTAATTGTGTAATTTGATTACACATGATATATTATGAGTACACTAAATTATCATAGGATTTACTAATTTTCTTCCAAGTTCTCCTTAAATATTTAAGATTAATGTCAGAATTAATAGATGACATTATAACAAAATCTTGCAATGAATATTTTTTGTTAGTACGCAAATATCGATTTATTAGATGAAATTTTGAGATAAATGAGTCTTTTCAAAAATAAGTGTGTGATTTGATCGCACATGATATAATTTAAAAGATGTTTATCAATTTTCAAATTGATAGTTACTTCTATCTAACACTAATTCATTTTTTTTCTCATGGACAATTAAAAAATTTTTTTGCAAACCAAAATGGAATGTTAGCATGTTTTTAAATAAGAACCATGAGAATTATTATTATGTAAGTTGTAAGTATTATATATATATAACTTTGTAAAATTTATTCAATTAAACAAATCTCAAACAAATTCAATAAATATGAGTTTTAGTACATATCAAGTTGAAATCAATGAAAAGAAGGATCCTGATTCTTTTATTACTTTGTCCTCTAAATTAAAAGGAAATGAACTTGAATTTATAGCTTTTAGAATTCTTAAAAACACTAAGATTGATTGTCAAAAAGTAAGGTAAGATAGTAATCTTATTAAGTAGTTGTTTAATTATTATGCATCTGAAGTTATGCTGCCATTAGGATTATATAATAAGTAGAGAACTGGAAGCACAATGTGGCCTCAAATAGTTATTTTGACTGAAATAACCAGATCTGTGAATGTCCTTCTCTGATTTATATATAATCTTAAAAACTACTATGTATTTCGCTTACACAACACCATTGATTGACTTCTGGGGCTGTGGTGAATAGGATGCATAGATAAATGCTTTGATTTCAGTCACTCAGAATATTTATATCCTTGATGATTATGATAACATCTACTTACCTTTTTCTTTTTTTTTTAATATAGATTGTCAGGTTCTAATGATGATGGAGGAATAGATATCTTTGGAAACTTTGGAAACTTTGAAGGATATTTGATTTTAGTTCAATATAAGAATTATACCGATGCAAAGATAGTGTTAATGATATTGGAAAATTCAAAGTAGTGATGTCAAGGTATACCAATCATACAACAATAGGAATTTATGTAATATTTAATACAGATAGATATAACAGAAATACAATTAATAGAGCAGAAACATCAGAATTTAATATCTTATTAACAAATGTTTCTAGCATGAAACTAGACATTATTAATTATGTCATTGAAAATTAAGTAATACTTTCAATGATTCTGAAAAACATATAATCGATGAAATAATTTGTAAAATTGAAAAAAAATTTGATATATTAAATAAGAAGGTCAATATTATAAATGAAACCCAAAAAAAATTGACTAGAAAAATAGAAATATATCAATCCAGAGTGATGATCAATAATAATAATAATCAAAGCAAAATTTTAACTTTATTAATTGTAATAATTATATTACTATTAATAAATTTAATCAAATGAACCAAATTTATACAATAAGCAAGCAAATCTTATTGCCATTTAAGTCAAAGAAACTGATGAAATTCTCAGTAGATATAATTATGTCGAATAGGAAAAGCCAAACTATAGCATACATATATGACTTGCAATGATAGCTTTATTTTTTCATTGAAAAATAGAACTATTCAAAGTTCTATAAAAAAACACTTGTTATTTATAATAATTCTTATATGGGTCCAGTCTTTAATAGTAGTTTGATTATGGAAGATAATTTTAATAAAACAATAAATATTATTGTTGGCATAATTCTTTATTTGTTATATATGAAAAATTGTTAAAAGATATATGGTTTTGTCTTACTTAAAATAATATTTTTCTTTAGAAATTTTTTTCTTTAGATGATCCCTTAAAATAAAAGGTTGACCTTTATTTTATAGTTGATAAAAATCATATTTACTTAATTATTACTATTTTTTTAAGTACAGTTGTTAATTAGAAATTGCATTTAATGTACTATGTAACATATAATATAGTAAATATTAATTAAAATTTAAGTAATAATTACAAATAAGCAAAGGGATTGGATAATAAATGAAGCTTGTATTTTATATTTTAATGAAGTATAAATCAAATAATAAATACAGATTAAATATTATATATGTTTAAATGCTCTTGTTAAGCACCTTTTATAACCCGACTATTGTTTTTTTTTTACAATTAACAGTTTTTATATTCACTTTTTTTTGTAAATATATATTGTTTTTTTTTGTTTAATGTTTTTTATCCTTTTTTGTCCTCTTTATCATAATTCTTTCTAATTTTTCGAGGGGGTTTTTTTTTAATGTTTTTTACTAGGTTATCAAGTAGAAAAGTTATTATTATTATTAAAGTTAACATTAATGTTATGGTTAACATTTGATTTCGATATATATATTCATTATTTTTTGAATTTTAACCTTTTTTTGAATTCTTTATTTTTGCATTTTTAGCAAAAATTCTTTGCATGAATACTATACTGAAAAAAAACAAATCAATTGTCTGCTTAATTTAACCATTGGTAGTTTTGGATATCGATGAAAAAGAGAAGTGATCCAGCTCATAAATTAAAATGTTTTTTTAATCGTTTATTATTTTTAATAACTAATATATTATGCTAGTAAAAAGGTTGTAATGTTGGTGAAATTGTTGCATGATAATGCACTATTTAATATAAAGTTCCGTAAATTACAATTCCATCAGAAATACGAATTAATTCTACCAAAATTATGTTTACTAATTTTACCAAAATCATGTTTACTTGAGTTACAAATTAATTCTACCAGAACTAGAGTTACTACTGAAGTTATGTTTACCAGAGTTCTACAAATATTATATTTACCAAAGTTATGAATTAAATTCTACCAAATGTAATTCACTTGATGTAAATTTTATGTAATTTACATATGTAAGTTATATAAGCTCAAAATAACTTCTAGAGATAAAATTAAACCTAAATTTTTCTAGGTCATTTTGAAATAGAATTTCTCTTAACAAAATTCCCAATATTATTTAACCAAATTTACAGTCAGTTTTCATGCATAGTTAGATTCAATATTAGAAAAATAAAAATTAGAGAGAAATTTTGTTTGTTAGTAAGAAATTTAGATTTATTCACAAAAAAAGTACTAAAATTGGAAATTTTGCCAGAAAGATAAGATCTTTAATCTCTAAGAGACTATAAGATTTAGAGATTATTAGTTTTAAATAGTAATATGCTTGAATCTTTTTGTTTAGACTATGTTGAGTATGTTCAAGAACTTTAGAATTTAATTAACTTATTGTTTCTATGTTTTTCTGAAAAAAGGATTAGTTATACTTCAAGTTATTAGTACTGATGTCTGTTTCAAATTATTTATTATTTGAGTCAGATGGTTAATATTATTTCTTTCTAACTCTATTATTACTTCATTAAGTAGATTTTTAGTTAAAGGAGGTTGTATTTCTCTAATTGTAGAAATTTATCAATATTGAATTCTTTTAGGGTTTCTATTATTGGATTTAAATTGATAACTTTTTCTGGTTTTTGATAACTCAAAAGAAGAATATTTTTGAGGTGATATATCTAAATGATTTCAAGATGCTAAGTTCTGTTTTCAGATTCAAAAAAAATTGTTTAAAGTAATTATTGTTTCTGGTTGTAGTTTTAAAAATTCTATTTTTAGAAGAAATTTGTATGATTTAAAGATGTTTATATAAATTTACAATCTTTGAATTATTGTAATATTGTAAAATTTGTATAATATTATTGTCTTTTTCTTTGGTTTTAGAATTTTTTTTTAGAAATTCTAGTTATTTGGTAAGAGCAAAAGGTTTCCATATTTGTTTTTTATAATATTTAGCTAAATAACTATTATTATAGTATTTTTGCAATGTTTTTTCTTTGTTATTACAAAGTTTATTGACTTCATTATTTATTTTTTTTTAAATAATAAAAAGTTCAGTTTTTTATTTTCAAATTTAGCAGATTATAAGTGTTCTATATTTTTTCTAAGTGTCTATACTTTGTTATCTATTTTGAATGTTTCTAAATAAATTTTGACATCAAAATATTCTTTCTGTTTTTGTTGCAACTCATTAGTCTTTTTTCTTGCACTATTTTGCAATTCTAATAGCTTGTTGATAAGCTCAAATATTTAGTACAATATACTATCTTGTAAGTTATTTTCTGTTTCTTTATAAGGCTTTATAAATAGTAAAGATTCTATTAGAAAAATAACTTGTTATCCATATACAAACTGAAATGAAGTATATTCAGCTGTAACATGCTTCTTTATTCAATAAGCAAGCAGTACAGCAGGTATATATAAATTCTAATTATTATCTTCTTTAACTTTTGCAAATGATTTGCATAAAGTTCAATAAGATGTTTAACTATTCTATTTATTTGTAAATAGTATGAAAAAAGAATTTTGTTTAATAAAAAAAAACTTTTCATATAGAATATAAACAGTTTTACTAATAAATTTTTTTTTTGATTAAAAAAAATAATCTTTAATGTTTTATGTCAACAAATGATTTTTTTAAAAATAAATAACCTAGCCGCACATATTTTATCAAGAGTTCGCTTTTGTCTATATAATGCACCAACCCTATTAGGAATTAAATAAATTAAATAAATTAATTAGATAGATATTAATGCCACATTCTAGTTAGCACAATAATATTTTTACCTTTTCTCTTTTTCCAATTCTTCGTTCAAATAGACACAAGTTTGACTCAGACGACTGACTTCATCGAGAAGAAAGGACACCTTTCTTGACTGATTCTTAATATGTGAGACAGCTTTACACAAAAAATTGGCAATAATTATTTGTGAATTCTCTGAATTACTTTCATTGTTTGGTAGTACCAAATATGAACAAGGAAATTGTGTTCACTTTTCTGAAGTATAACAGCTTTACTCATCTTACGTCTTGTATAAGTGGTCGGGAGCTGTCTACAGAGTTTCTCAAAATCATATTTGATTTCTGCATGTCATTTTTGCTCTGATTGAACGTGTATTTGATGCCTAAACTCGGAGTGTGACATTGTGCTGAATCAATTTAAGATATTTTTTTCAGAGATGTTAAATTCAAGTGTATGCTGAGATGTAAATTTTGTTCTATCGTATTGCGTATACTCACTTGTGTCATCAATATCATCTAAGGAGGAATTATCGAATGGCTCATCATGTGATAACTTTCTATGCTGGCTGTGTCCCATTTTTTAACATTCGTATTTTTCTTTGCTGTATTGAAGAAATTCTGGAATGTCTAATGTAGAGTCGCAATCTTCAAGTGTAGAAGGTGGTGCTGGTGAAAGTAATTGAAAAACTTGTGTTGTTTGTGTGTTGTCAAGAGAAAACATATTTAAAGTTACTAAAGGAATAGGTGATATGCTATTTAAAGGTGCACCTCCTAGTTGACATGTAAATGTAAAATCTGAAAAACAAATTTCAAAAGGTTAAAATAAATTAAACTTTATTAGCTTTGTCTTCTAAAAAGTTTAACAATTAAAGTACACGAGTAAGCTTTGTAAAATTTATTTTACACGTTTTTTAATATTTATAAATTCTTTTCTTTGGTTATTATAAATAACCGTAAACTAACTGAAAGTATAGTAATCAGGCGCGTTTCGTTTTTCAAAAATAAATAAATAGATAAAGAATATTTACCTAAGCTAAAAGCAACCTCGATTCCAAGTGGAAAGACTAAGCTTGAAGGAAATTGCATGTTCTCAAGATACTTTTGTGTGAAAGCAAAGATTTTTTTTTTGTATTGTAATGAGAGATATTTTTATAATTTAAAAAATGGTTTTTAATTTTCTTACCAGAAAATAGAGGAACGATGCAATTTTTTAAACTATTATAAATTTTAATTCTCTTAAAATAAAAGTCCTCGGACAGAAATATAGTTTAGCTAAAGATCTATTAATTTATTAGTAAGTATCTTGATTTAGCTTGTTTTAAAAAAGTTAGAATAATTTAAAGTTTTTACTAATTAAGAGTATATGCATTTTACTATCTGGTAATATAGAAAACAGATTATTATAGCTATTTTAGTAGAAAAAATTAGATTAAATTAAGATTTTATAGATTTTCTTTAATCTATTCTAACTAGAAATTAATTTTAAATAATGAACTATAGTTAAAACAGGAAATAAAAGTATAATATCATATTGAGTACCTATTTAGTAGCACAAATGTAATTAGAAATCTTAAACTTTAGATTTTTCTAATACTACAATAAAGTTTTTATATAACAT